TGTCCCGACGGAAAGGAACGAGCGAGATGAAAAAGTTCTTACGACATTATGAATCCTGTTTCTCATTTTATCCTGGTGTATAGTGAAGATTGGAGTTGCCTTGGATGGATGGTTGGTTGTAAAGACGTTGAGATTAATTGTTAGCCAGGCGTTATTTGCCAGAGAACCCATTAAATTTATTCATTAATTGGACGCGGTGGCGAAAGAAAGGAAGGATCGACAGGTTTTTCTTTTTTTTAATGTTTCCCATGAAAAAAGAAAAAGAAATTAAGTATGCGTCTGCGTAGGCGTGACGCGTCTGGAAGTTTTAATTGCCTTTCGTCTGCCTTGTTGATCTAATTAGTGTTTATTTTACGGATGTTGCCTGTAACCCCTTGGATACATGTACAGTAATTTGTTTGTTTTTTCCTTTTTGTCGTTTGTTTCTTGCTTCCGTCGGGAAGGATTTCATTCGTAAAAAATGTTTTCTCGGTACGTTCTGTGAATCGGTGAGTGAAGTACTTTTTCAAAAATTTGGTGTAATTATTTTTTTGGATGTTCTTTTTGTTTGTTTTCTGTCAGCTTTGGCTTCCTTTGATAATTATTTATCTATTTTTTTTGGCTGATTGCAGGGATTGTATGATTTTAATCGCCTAATTTATTCGTAAAATTCACCCGAGTGCAAAATGAAGTACCTTCTCCGCAAGCATGTTCTAGTACGATAGGAAACTGGTGTTTTGAAACTGTACATCAGTGTAAAGTATTTCTTACGAGGCTTGGTTCTGAAGTTTAGTAAATATTCTCTGGAATTTTGTCGAATCCTTAGAAAGCAACACAATAAAAAAGAACGTTAGGAATAACTTTCATAATTTCCTAAACAATGTTGCAATTTTTGCCTACCCAGGTTGAAATTAGCAGTAATTCCGCTGATTTAAAATTTTTCGGAATTACTGTGGTAAAAATGTATTTTTTTCTTCTTGCTTGCGTTAATTAGAGATTATTATTTTGTTGGTCATGTGCTCTCGATTGAAGTGCCGCTAAAAGTCAAAATTTATTGCAATTTAAAACTGACAGTTATAGGGTCTATTATGTTTCTATAAGGCTACTTTTATAAATGATTAAAGACTATGAACCTTATTAAAAGCCCCATTACAACTAACCATATCCGTTCTGGTTTCCCAGGTCCCTGTCTGCAGTTGAAGAACATTTTCATAAAATAAATGAAATCATATTCCGTTGATTTTGAAATGATTTGTCGGCTTCTGACGCGAGGAAATATTTTGTTGTTGTTGAATAACTTGATTTCCATGTCCTTAAAAGTCCCTGAGGAAAAAAATTAAGATCCATGCCTCGTATTTTGAAGACTGACTCAAAACTTGTGTCTGGAATTTAAAATACTTGCTTTGAAATCAATGAATGAATTATCAAATGCTGATTCATTTCATGGAAAAAGAATTGTTTTGTTTGCTTGATTTTTATATATCATCGAATTTTTTTTGCATGTCACTGTAAAGTACAGTGATTCGTATACAGTAATGTACTGTAGTTTCGAAAGATTCTAATTTGGCATTAACGGTTTATCAACTGTCGTGTCAACTGGTTTGTATTTTTGTTGTGATGTGAACCTTGATTTCGGTCTGCAATTTTGAGAATACAGTATTGTACGACATTTTGAGTTTAAGGCAGATATTCGAATCCTGTCGACTCACCAAATTTAATTTCAACCAGCTCTTGTGCCAGTTGAGAAAATAATTCATAGATCCTCCATTATGAAAATTTCTTTCGAAATTTCGGACGCGTGTTTTTCATGGGAACCGAACCCTGATCCTTTTCAAATTTTTTTTCCTCGAGTTATCCTTTGTTTTGGTAGAAAAAAATTGAAAAAATAACTTGAAAAATTTGACTTTGAGGATATTAAAATTCTGCTGAGTTTCCTCATTTCATTTCAACCTAGCTCTTTGGCAGTCGAAAAAATAATTCACAGTTTCTCCGTTATCCAATTTTTTACTGTGCAAATTTGGCCGGTCCTTTTTTTTTTTTTAAATCGTGTGAACCGAAATATGATTTCTTTATTTTCGATCCTCTCCCCAGGCTACGTGATAGACGGTTCGCCGAAGCCCGGCAAAGTGGCGGAAATGCGACGGAAAGGAAACAATCGTTTGGTGCCGTTTCCGACGACGGTGCCGCCGCCGCCGAACGCCGCCTTGGACGGCTACGAGTCGGCGTCTCCTCGACTGAGTCCAGAGCCGTTGCAATTGCGGACTTCCGTGGGCGGCAATTTCGTGTTTCCCGGGGAGTCCCTCGTTTCTCCTGTCGACTACGCCAAAGTGGGTTTTGTCAAGAAGAAGAAGACGAATTTTATTTCAAGTTTTGTTTTTTTCTTCTTGTTCTGTGAGAGCATTTTTTAAATTCTTCGAACTTGCAAAAAAGTTACAGTACTTTACATGCTATTATTTTCAAGACCGGCACGAGAACATGGTTCTAGCATTTCATTCGAGAATCGAAACTGATGTTTGAGTATTTTTGGCGCTTTTTTTTTAACTATGTACATTATTCATATATTTCCCCTCCTTTTTTTGTGAGTCGATGCTTGAAATTTTTGCGTTCTGTTCGTGTTTAATTGAATATCGGAACTAATATTCCTTGCGGAAATTGTTCAGCAGTAATGGAAACTTGATTCATCGATATGATTGCCAAGGAAGACAATTTTCAATTCTGAAAAATTAGAGGTTTTAAGGATGCAATTGAAAAGCTTCGGGAATTTTTCCAGTGTGAGGAACGTCAGTTTGTTGTTGTTGGATTTGTTGATTTTCTTTTTTCTTCTTCACTTTCAATGGTCATTTATAATTTTCATTGCCTTTGCTTCTGAATGAGGAGGTACATTTTTAATTCTCAGGAACATTGCTACAAACGCTGTTTTCATATATTTTTGGCAAAATAAAAAAAAATTCGAGGTAACGCAGACAAAATCAATCGATTTCAATTTCATCTGACTCGCGTTTTCTGTCCCTTATGGAAATTGTGTACTGTATAATAATCGGCAAAATATTCGTTGCTGTTCTTTTTCTAAATCTTGTTCCATAGAATTCGCACAGTTTTACAGTCGTGCTCAATGTGAAATTTGAAAGCTGTTTGAATTGAGGAAACTTTTAATGTTCTCTGGAAATATCGAGTGAATATGAGTATTCTGCCTGTTTTCGGGGAACAAAAGCTAGATTAACAAGATGGAAGCTATGTTTGTCAAGTGAGAGTTTCTTGACAAGGGTTTATTCAATGGTTCGCGAACACGAGGAAGACATTTCTTTCATTGTTTTAAGGCTTGATAATTTTTTTTTTTTCAGAAAATATCTTTATTCTTACATTTTTTCTGAAATATTCCGGTTTTTTTCCTGGTTATGAAAAAACGATACAAATGCTTATGTCATCTGTGGTAGCAATGAATATGCGAATTATTTTCGACAAAATTATTATCAGTTACTTAGTACTGTACTGTAAAAGAAGTTTCTACTGTATCTCGTTTCTTTCTGAAAAAGAATTTAAGCAAGGACGTGATTTTTTTACAGTTCCTGTATAGTTTATTCAAAGGTTTGCAACACGAGGGAGACATTTATTTATTTATTTTTTGAGACTTCTGATCTCCGATGATTTTTATTTAAGAAATTATCTTCATTTTCACATTTCATCTAAGAATTCCGTTTTTCCTGTTATGAAAGAACATAAGAAATACTTGTCATATGTGGTAGCGATAAATATGTGACTGTCAAATTTCTTTCGGCTGAATTACAGGTGAATCTCCATAAGTCGAATTCCTGCCTAAGTCGATTTATTTTCAAGTCCCTGTCCAAATTCCCTGAAAATCAATACATCAAAAACCTCCCTAACTCGAATTCTTTTTTTCTAAAACCTCTGTAAGTCGAATTTTCTGAGGCCTTCTGGTTATTATTTCTGTGAAATATGAGAGAGAAAATGATTAAAACAAATAATTTTATGCATCTTGGAAGGAATTGAAAGAAAAATACAGTATAGCAAATGAACCCCTGCCTCTAAGTTCAGTACAGTAAAAATTCATCAAGAGGCAAATTTAGGCCTAGAATCTCCTCATTTACAATTTCCTGCAATTTTTTTTTTTTAATCCTCACAGCAAGAATTGTTTTTCCCTAATTCAAAACCTGCCAAAATCAAAACCTCCCTGAGTCGAATTGTTTTCCTGGTCCCTAGAAATTTGACTTACAGAGGTTCAACTTGTATTATCAGTGAGTTTGAACAGTACTGTACTTTGAAAGAAGTTTCACGTGCAGTTTTTTTTCTCTGGAAATGGATTAAATTTATGACGGAATATTTTCTTTACATTACAGTATCTGTATCGAGACTTTTCGCAGAAATGCGAGGTATGTTTTGTAGAAAAGCTTCTTTGGGTTATGACGAAAAAAAGAATTTAGNTCTCATGCTGACTTTCTAAATTGCGTTCCAGGTGAGATACCAACATGCCCAGGAGCAAGACCGACTGCGGGTGGAATCTGTGAGAACGTCTCGGGCTCTGAGTCCGAATTCCTTGAACCTGGTGTCCGAAACCAGATCCAGGTTCGAGACGAAAGAACCCAGTCCCGTTCATCCGAGTGATGTCTGGACGATTCACGACGGGCCAACGGCTGAATCCACTTCGCAAATGGCCGAGTGGTTTCGGCGGAAAGCCGCGAGGAAAGTGCGTCGCTAAATTCTTATTTTTTATTGTATATTTATTCGATTTGTTTTTTTGTTTTTTTGCGGAGAGTCGAGACTTTTCTGCATGCACGAAATCCTGTCTGGTCTTTTGTAATTTTTGTCGCCGATTCTAAACGAAGAGGAAAATTGATGGAATTGTATTAAATGTAATTTCTGCTTTATGAAGGTATTACGTTGAAGTATTGTCAAAATTTTTTTTACGAGTTAAGCTCAATCCTTCGTTGAAATTTGAAATTTTGCCGAAAGGTTACCTCTTCAATCCTACGAGCGCAAAATCGTGTCTGGTCTTCGGGATTTTGCCGCCGATTTTAAACGAAGAGGAAAATTGCCGGAATCGTATTAAATGTAATTTCTGCTTTATGAAGGTATTACGTTGAAGTATTGTCACAATTTTTTTTTTTTTTTTACGAGTTAAGCTCAATCTTCCGTTGAAATTAGTTGATCGGAATTTTTTCCCAGTAGAAATTTTGCCGAAAGGTTACCTCTTCAATCCTACGAGCGCAAAATCGTGTCTGGTCTTTGGGATTTTTGTCGCCGATTTTAAACAAAGAAAGAAATTGCTGGAATTGTATTGAAAGTTTCTGCTATATAAAAAGGTACTATTTTAAAGTATTCTCACAATTTTTGCGAGTCACCCGCAATCTTTCATCAAATCAGAATTTTTCGCAGGACTCATTTTTTCTAGTTTATATTTTGCCGAAAAGTTACCTTTTTAATCGGGTTTGGAAAATTGACTGCCGATGTTCGTCAATTTTAAAAATACCATCAAATATCAGTTGTTCGTATTCTAAAGAAAGTAACAAGCTGAGCTTCCAGATGATGCCTTATTTTTGTTTTTACTTTTCGAAGTACGGAGTATTTTGAATCGCCAATCCAACCTGAGAGATTGAAATCTTAATCACAAAGTTTTTCGAAATTTTTTTTTATTGGACCTTATTGAGTGTTGTCCCTACTTGGTGATATTTTTGAAGGAAGAAATTTTTTATTCCTGGTATGACTTCCCGTCACCCATTCGTAAAAGCAACTCATGTGTTGTATTGTACTTCGCTTTTCTCTCTATGCCGAATTTTTTTTCTCGAGGTATATTATTATACTCATAGATAGACGGTACAGTAGAATCTCGTTACAAGAAAGCCTTTGGGACGTTGAAAAAAGCTTTATGATGCGGAGAAATGTCGTTGACTCTATGCCGAATTTTTTTTCTCGAGGTATATTATTATACTCATAGATAGACGGTACAGTAGAATCTCGTTACAAGAAAGCCTTTGGGACGTTGAAAAAAGCTTTATGATGCGGAGAAATGTCGTTGACGAAATTAAAATAACATTGTGGCTATTTGGATGGGGGCCAAAGTTCAAATTTTGCTTGAAGCAATTACCTGTTGTAGAAAGATGTCACTGTACCGTATGTACTTCAGTTCCGCACAATCTCAATTACGAGGCGCATCCAGATTTTTTCAGTTGAAAATTTTGATAAATTCCTGTCTCAAAGTATGATGCGCACCTCATTTTAGTGTGAGAAAAAAAGCAATATTTTTAAAAATACGAAGAGAGCAGAAGTTGATTTTTACATGAATTCAAGTTATTCTCAATTTTGAGATTGTTAATTATATTGGTCGACAATTTTCCTTTGGAATCAAGAATAATGCGCACCTAACCTAAAAATTTGTTGAAAATTTTTATCCCTGCCTCTGACACAAATGCCTTTTTCCTCCTAAATTTTGAGACAAAAAAAATAGCGCGCGGTACTTGTGCAAATACTGGTACAGTACTTGTTATTCATGTCTTTTTGATATTCGTTTTGTATCGAGTTCTTTGGATATCTTGGGAAAGGACTGTCGAGAAGTTGAATTTATTTTTTTTTTTGCAGGGGAATCTGCCGCATCCGGAGTTGACAGAGCAGCAGAGACAACATATCAAAGAGCGGTCCATGTCGCCGACCACGTATTACAATGCCGCGGGTGTGCCAATTCGACCCTTTCTAACCAGAGGCTCGGTCGCAGAGCGTGTGCTAATTTTTGAAAAGTGTCCCACCGAGGTCAGAGACAGAACCGGCGCTGGAAGTCTGGGAACGTGGAGAACGAACGAGGTTCAAAGCAGAGCACAGGTCAGTTATTCTTGTTGTTGTTGTTTTCCTGGCTTATTCGAGTAGAGAACGAAAAGAAAAGCGAACAAAGTTGTGGCATTTTGGTTTTGTTTTTTTGTCTTTTTTTGTTCTGTACCTCAGCGTCATGATCCAGGTTCAGCTCGGAAATTTCTTGCAAAAAGAAGCAGCGCATTTTTTTCTGAATTTGATATTATTCTATCCTGTTGCTTCCATTATTTTTTTTGACACATGTGGTGTTGTAAAACTTTTTGCAGTTCTGGGCGAAAGCTTCGTCACTGAAGGGCAAAGGGAACAATTACCTGGTAAAGAAATATTTTTTGTTCTTTGGCTGATGCTCGTCGTGTGTCTCAAGATTTTTATTTTTTCGGCATTGTGACAGATTTTTGCCAAGCTTACCTCAAGTTCTTTTTTTTTGTGGCATTATTATTATTTTTGTCTCATAGAGACCGTAGTAACAGCATCTGTGTTGAGCCTGGAGCATGAAGTTAATTTCCGTTCATTTGATAACAAAATAAAAAAGGTATTATAGTTGATTTAGTTGATTTTTTCTGCGTGTGTCCTTGAATGCTTGTTGAGTTTTGATTTTCATCCTCGTCGTCGTCGTCGGGGAAATTGTGGCGTTTTTATCATCGCAAATAACGAGTAAATATGGGTTTGATGAAATGGACAACGCCCATATTGCTCATGTTTCTCACGCACATGACTGCACCCGATCGTCGAGGGTTTTTCTTTTTTTTTTCGTTATTGTATATATATATTTTTTGAAAATATGAAAAAACGGGTAAAAGTTTGCTGTGTTTACTCACTCACTCACTCATCCGTTTGTGATTTTTTTTTTGTGGTCTTGAACTTCGAATTGGTACCGTATTTGTTACTGTTATTATCGCAGCCTCGGAGATTTCTTCGAATGGAAATTTGGTTTGGATCATGGATATTTAAAAAAAGAAAAATTTAGGAAGAGGAAACAGAGAGGAGTTTCTTCAAAGCTTTTGGATGCTCTGTCATGGTTACTTTGACCATTGCTTGAATTGCAAAAAAAATTTTGCTCGCAGATTTAAATATCTTCTCTCTTCTTTTTTTTTACTGTAGTGAAGTATGGGGTTGGATGTTATTTGAGATTATGCCAGGAACGATGTGGACTTACCATTTACATGCAGGCATGAAATTTGAATTTACTTTTCATGCTATCATTTTGGTTGGGGGAGATGGTTGATTTGTTCACCATTTTCATTTGAATATTGTATTGAATTTAAAAGAGATTTTTAAGAGAGTTATTGGATATTTATTCTCTGTTCTCTAGGTTTGGAGCTTGGTTAATCTACTTTTGATAAGTTGGAGGTGCTCAGCCACACTTGTGCATAATTTTTGAAATTTTACAGAGATTTTAAATATTTTTACAGATATATTTTGAAGATGGTTACATGTTTAAGTTTGTTAACCAAGACCCTGCTTTATTTGATCTTATGTTCATTCAAGATTTGTGAGTATTTTATTTAAACTGTGAGAGAATTTGGATAAGCACACACACACACACACACTGTTTTTCACTGAATGATCAGTCCTTGGTAATTCATGGCTTTTTTCTTCTTGTTTATTAGTGGATCAACTTTGTTCACTTTTACCAAAATATGGAGAAGGAAAGAAAAGGCTTTCAAGACATTTGTGTGATTGAAATTACAGTACAGTATTGATTGGTTTTTCTAAATTTCATCAATTGACTATAGACACGCGATTCCTTAACAAGAGTTAATTTCTGAAGAAATTGAATATTTTTTTGGAATTTGAAAATAAATTTGAATTGGTAAATTTGAGTTCCATATGTGATCTTGTAAGTGCTGTATCAATAATCATTGACTCATGCTCAGGATTTGTTTGGGAATCACATGGTCTTAACAACGTCACCAAATGAACCTCTTCTACAAACTGAAAATAGATTTTTTTTTTTACAAGATGAAAAGTCTGGTGTCATTTAAAATGCGGACTGATGTCAGTCTATCATCAAATCAACTTGAGGGCGCCGTGTGTCTTGGACGCGTGTATATACTGTAATGTGTTCTGCGAAAACAAAAATGAATTCCCGAGTGATTCAACCGATTCGTTTCGCCAAAATCAAAAACCCAAACAGTCCATCTTTTCTCGGGAATTTTCTCAGAGAATGCCCTTGTTTGTAACTGCGTATACTGTACTGTATGTATTGTATCTCTCTCTCTCTCGTCTTTTTAAGAAGACAGGATTGGGAATACAATATATATTTATTCCGCGGGCGTGGGTGAGGAAAACTAATCAGCGTCCCGAAGGGAATTGCTCCTGGGGAGACGGACGGACGGACGGACGAATAGTGAGGCGCACCCAAGCACAGAGAAACCCATGCTTAAATTAGTTGGGTACTTCTCCGCCTGTCCGACGTTTCATTTAACTTTTTTTCTGTTGTTTTCTTTACTCATTTTAGTTATAGTATTGAATTTTGTCTAAGGTTTTCTGGTTGTGAGGACGAGAGGCGTGACGCAAGTGGTCACAGTTGGAAAGGATGTGGGGTACTTAGTTTTATCTCTGGGGTGTTGATGTGGGCGTGTGGAAAAAGTGTGGTTCCTTTTCTTTTATTTTTTATTTGAATAAATTTGTTTCCTTTTTTTCTTGAATAATTTGGGAGATGCTGAAGGATGATACATTATCTACTTGGGTCTAGGACAAGTTCAGATAGGGACTATTGGACATGGAAAAATTTTGAGACCAGAATATTTTGAGTTGCCACAATATAAGTTGATGTCAAGTGTCAAGTAATGCAATAAAACACAGCAATCAGTCCAAGACAGGACCAAGAATTCCTAGTTTAATTTTAATCTACTATAATAAAGTTGCTTGGTGTTCGCAGCATTTTTTTAATTTTCGGGCTCTCCCTTCCTTCCTGCCCCTTACCACCCTCCCACAAAGCCCCAGAGAGGCCTGCAGGAGGGTTGCGTTTCCGGTTGTCTTCACTTTGAAAATTTGTGTAAAATCGAATTTTTGACCAAATCAACTTTTCAAAACTTTAAAAGAAGCGCCATGATGTTTCCTGCATTTCACTTTTTTAAATTTTGAAAAATCTCAAAAATTGGCAAAGTTACAATGAAAATCGCAAAACTTTTTTTCAAAATCGTGGAAAAATCGGGAAAAATTACTTTTACATTTTTAATTTTAAATTTTCAAGTTTTCAACATTTGTCAATGAAAAAAATGTGTAAATTTGTAAAACATCCAAGCGCATTTACCCTCTGAAAATAATTGATATTGAATGAATGAAAAGAAAATTATCACAAGATCAAGTGAAAAACGGGAGGAGGGTGAAAAAACCCATTTCCCGTTTTTTAAACTTCACAAATTTAGCAAAAATTGAATTTGTCTTGAAGTCACAAATTTCTTCAAATTTCGCACGCGCCATTCAATTTGAAACATTTCCTTTTTTTAAACATTAAAAAATATTAATAATTGACAGAGATACAGTGAAACATACAAAAACATTTTTTTAAATTGTATGAAAATTGTGAAGAAATACTTTTACTTTTTCAATCTTAATTCATGGAGTTCTAAACATATTTGAAATTTAAAAATATGTAAATTTGTCAAACATCTATGTGCACATAGCTGTGTAAATGTTTGTTTATGGAGGGAGTATTAAAAAAGTTAACATGAGCTAAAGTGAAAAATTGGAGATTTCTTGAAAATTTTATTTATCATTTTGTCAATTTTAAAAATCTCTAAAACATTGAATTCTTCACAAAACCTACTTTTTAACCCTTTTTCACAAAAATTGTATGAAAATTGTGAAGAAATACTTTTACTTTTTCAATCTTAATTCATGGAGTTTTAAACATATTTGAAATTATTGTCAAACATCAATGTGCACACAGCTGTGTAAATGTTTGTTTATGGAGGGAGTATTAAAAAAGTTAACATGAGCTAAGTGAAAAATTGGAGATTTCTTGAAAATTGTATTTATCATTTTGTCAATTTTTAAAATCTATAAAACATTGAATTCTTCACAAAACCTACTTTTTAACCTTTTTTCACAAACACCATGATGTTTGCAACATTTTCTAAATTTAAAGCTTTTATAAAACTTGAAAATTGACAAAGTGAGGTTAAAAATATTTTTTTTTAATTTCAAAAGCTGGGGAAAAATCAGGAAAAAAGTTAATAGTGAATCAAACATAATCAATGGAATTTTTGGCATTGCACTACCCCTCTAGACTCCCTCTCACTTAAAATTAAAAATTTGAACCAGTAGCCTGTGCACCAGTCATTTAGCTACAATATCCTATTACTCTTGCTATCACACACTGAAAAAGGTTTGGCTTTTGTTTGGACTATGGTCTCTCCCAGGGGGGGGGGACATTGAATTCTTCACAAAACCTACTTTTTAACCCTTTTTCACAAACACCATGATGTTTGCAACATTTTCTAAATTTAAAGTTTTTATAAAACTTGAAAATTGACAAAGCAAGGTTAAAAATATTTTTTAATATTTTAAAAGGGGTTAGGGGATGGAAGGGAATTGAGCCCATGAGAACCTAGGGAAGTGGCAACAACTTTATGAAATTAGGAGATTAGGGTACCCAGCCACACCTGAGTAATGTGCATAAAACTAATGGTCCTTTGCATGTAACCACCTTTAATCAGCAAATATTTTTAAAATTCTTTATATAATATGTACTATGTAACAATAATACACCTATGCATGTTTCCGACCCGTGAGGTCAAACCTTAACATTCTTCCTTATTTTAGGGGGACGAGTACACGGTCAACACCGGGTGGCCCGGTGTTGACCACGTAACTCGTGTTCATATTCTAATGGCCACCAGGAAGTTGTTTAACTAGCTTTAGTAATACAATTTTTTCATTCTCCGCATAATTTGTGTAATAATAACCAGTTGTGCCTGGGCATACCTTCTTACACCCATTAAAATCTGTAAAACATTCAATTTTTCCTAACAAAAAATGTGACATGATGCCCAGGTGTGGCTGGGCACCCCCAGCTTGTTCTTTTAAAGCAGCACACGACAGGAAATAAGAGTTTCATGTAGTACAGTACAGTAAAATCAATTACCCAAGACCTCTTCCGTCTTTGAGTTTGGTCCATATGCCTTCGGGTCCTCGATAATCCGGAATGTTGGCAGCTGTGCTGACGCCTGCGCCGGTGTAAACAACAGCATACTTGGACTTTTTCAGCGCTTTCACATAGAGGTCGCTCACTCGATCAATCTCTTCCTGAGAATCCAGCTTCTCTTCAAGGCGCTCTTCTTGTTCTTTCGTTTTGCGCTTTCTTCATTAAAATAAAACAGTACTGGCATTGAAATCCTGCGCTAAAACACTAGACGATTACAACGGTTGAAATTTCATCGACAAAATTTGTTGAATACAGTGGATCTGTACCCAAGAGGTCAAGTTGCATAACCGCTGTTCAAAATTGAAAATACCAGTCTCTAGCCCGAAAAAATTACAATAGAACGACATACAGTATTTTGAAAATTTCAAGATCTCCACGGGAAGCAAAGATACTGTAAAAAAATAATCCCTGTTCATCAAATTCTCCTTCTTCTCGTATCTCACGCCAAAACCCGAAAATACTGTAGTACAGACTGTCACGTTCTCGTCATTAACGTTCCACACTCCACATGAGAAAATAATGCCCTGAGGAAAATACGTAACTACAATACACAAAATAATGTCGAATTGTGTTATAAGGAAATTACTGGCTAAAACGAAGTCTTTTTTCAGGTTCCCTCCCATGAGCAATAACGCTTCAGTTTTAACATCGCTTCCCAACAAAGCTTTTTTGCGAGTCCCAACAGCTTCTTTGTAACGAGAGTTTATTGGATACGAACAGGAACACCATATGAACATTCAAGAATTACTCAAATCAATAGCCAGAAGAGTTCTGCATAAAGAAAGTTGAACCTCTCTGAGTCCAACTTCCAAGGGACAAGTAAAGAAAGAAAATCAAGAGGTTTCTAGTAAGGAAAACGGTTATTTGTCTTATCCACAGAAGGCAACTAAGATGTGTTACCTCTTGGGTCTTGAATTGCAGAATAAATGAGTTGACAGGGTGCTAAACTTGGAGCTAGAAGTTCATTTGTCTAATTAGTCTCAGCATTACATCACTTTTTTACTGTGTTCTTCTTTCTTGAGTAACCAGAATAAGTAACCCCAAAGGCCTCCAAAAATGTTAGTTACGGAAGTTTGAGGAGAAAATTCTTCAAGTTAGTGAAGTTTATGATAGTCGAGAGGTCTAACGAAATTTCTTGGGGTACACATTGACATGGCATATGACTGAGCTGAAAAACAATTATTGTTCGGAAAACGACATTTTTTTGCACAAAAACAATTGAGACCTGTTTGACACGTTGTTTTGTAATTTTTTTAGAGAAAAATCCCCCTGGCAGCTTTCTGCTCTGCACTAAAAAGATTGAAGCGCCAATCACCCAAATTTTTTGGTGAACCCAAGCTTCTCCTTCAGAATTTTCAAAATTGGAAAGACATTAATTCGAAGTGTTGCCTGCAGGCCTTCCAATGTAATTCCACTATTTTCATCAACAGCCACCGCCACATTCCCCAAGTGGCGACTGTTGATGAAAACGGCGGAATTCATAATCACTTGATGGCGGAAACACTTCGGATTAATGCGGTGTCATTTTCAAGAATTATGAAGGGAAAGCTGAGGTACGCCAATAAATCTGCGAGATGGGCGCTTCAGCTTTCGAGTGTTGAACAGAAAGCTGTTGCCAGAATGACTTTCGCAAAAATAATAAAAAAAAAATACCTCGTTGAACTGTGGTACATTTCTGTTCTTCTGCCAAAGAATATATTTTTTTACAGTTATTATTTTTCATCTCAATCGTTTCAATTTCTATTCCGAAAAGATTCGTTAGAGCCCTCGTATTCATCTCAAGAGGATTCAGACAGGGTCTAGAAAATAATAAGGAGGTTTTCGAATTATCGAGGTTCAACTGTATTTCCCCTGAATCGGTGAACTTACTTGGCTTCCAGAGATTTTACAATTTCTGGAAACGCGTGAAGCAAACTTGCATCGTCGGAACTCCTTTCTGACTCGGGAATCGCGAGAATCGTGGAAACCTGAGGAGCAATAAAATCAACCATCAAATATTTCATAAAACAAATACTTTCCGTCAATCGTAATACGAGACAATTCCGATAAAACTGTCAAAAAAACAGAACCAAAAAAAACCGAAAGAAACGAAGAAACGAACCCTTTGGGATAATAGACGGCTTTGAGCTCGCGAACTGGTGACAAACGGTAAAGGCCGCCGAGTTCGACGCGATTCGGGCTCGTCCATAACAACCACTTTCCTGTCGCAAGATCATAGGACACCAATTTCAAATGCAATTTACAACACGACACTCGAAAACGATCATTGAAAATACAAATTCCGGTGTACGCCTCATTCATTTTCAAAATGATTAAAAAATAAAAATGAGAACATTCCACTCCATTCGATGACTAACAAATGCACCAAGGAGGTAATCAAATAATTTCCCGAAGTGCGACGATTGGATTTGTGCAACACAAAACGATAACCAAAATCAAAATAAGCCCGACTCGAACACAACGCAGTCACGACTACATCCACGACTAAGAAACACTCGCTAAAATCACGCAGCGATCTTCCACAAATTCAATACGATTTTTCCAAGAAATTTGCCTCAAGCACCTTCGACGTTCTGACGATGAAATAAGCCACTTTTCGGAAAAAAAAAACTACGGGAAGAACTCGTGCCCAGAATTACTTTCATTCACACAAAATTAAGACCCAGACAGATTTTTACGGAAGGTACTGTAATTCCTCAAAATAAACTCTGAACAATACATATTTTTCTCTTTTTTAAGAGTTTTTCTTTCTTTTAAATTTGGTACGCTGTTATCGACAGACTGATGCTTTGCTTCACTCCAAGAGAGCACACTTCGTGCACTCTCTCCCAGATCAACGAAGATCAACCTGTTTCCATCAACTGAGCAAGTCTCCCTTTCCAGAGTTTTGCTATTCCCCCGAGAAAGAAGTGTGAAAAGCATATCACTGCACAGCGGGGTCTTGGCTTGAAAATGCCCTGGCCAACAAACTATCACGCTAAAAAACCTTCGAGTTTGGGCCTCAGCTGCTCCAGTTAACAAACCTTGACCCGGCTCACAAACTTCGGTGCATTTGAATGATTACCCCTGGGATCAGCAGTAGATATTTCCCAGTGAATGTTTCTTATTTTACTGCAATTATTGAGACTGGAATCACCACGCGAAAATAAATTTTGCATCGTTTTATTTCATTTTATTTTTTTGAATATTAGGGTTTCATTTTAGCCAAGTTCTTCCTTGATCATACTGTACTGTACTTTCAATCTGCCTTTGCTTCATTAAAGTTTTATCATTTCAGATATGTTTTTAAATGATTTCGCATCTAAATGTGGCACTGCTCAGATGGTCTTGCCTTTTTTTTCACACGCACAGGTCAAAAGTCAATAGTGCAGCGCCAAAATTACGATTTCTTGCATATTTTCTCAGAGAAATTCCTTGGATTTTATGCCTAGTAAGAAATTCTAAGATGAATTTTCTTGATTTTCATCGGCACTTCTAAGGTTCTGGAACCAACTCAATTCATTCTTTTGCTTCTTTCAGGGAAAACATGATTTGGCTAACAAACGTTGCTCAGGAATGGATCAAGTTTGTACGGTAAGCCAAGACCCCACTGTATCACTCATTTTGAGAAATGACACGTCTGAAGTCATGAAACAGGAATGCAGAGTGAATTGCGCCACACTTGACTCAGTCATTTACTGTTAGTAGAAGTACCTCAAGGGTCAATTTCTGGCAATACTTGACAATAACCCGTCAATTGTTGATTTTCAGTCCCTTGTTTTTTATCCCTCTTTAACATTACAATTAAAAGAAATGCATAGTTCAGTATTGCCACGATTCCACGCTTTTGATGAATTATTGGCCAGTGTCATTATGAATAATCAAATCAATCGGGGGAAAAACCGGTATCAGAATCACAACTGGAATCAAAGCGCTCAAAAGAATCCAAATCAACCACCACCACAACGCGTCATGAACAGCAATACCAAAATAGAAGGCGATCACTTGAAAGGAATTTATACATAAAATGAAAAATACTACAAATATAACTGACTCTCGCGTCTCATGCCACTCCTGGAATAATTTTCGCTTTTTGGAAACCCGTTCAAACCATACTCGCGTTGCTATTTCGCGAAGCCAACAATTTCTGCACGACGGCTGCTGATTCAGGCATCATAATCATTACAATACCCTGGGAACATTCCTCTGAATCAGTTTCAACAGCGAGGCCCTGTTTGAGCTTCTTGCTATCACGTGCAGGATTTGTGCATACTCTGAATCTCACACAGTCTCTGCCGAGAATTCCCCTGGAAAGGAAAGAAATAATAATGCGTGAAAATCCGCGTTCGACGATTCAACTCCTGATGGACTTTCTTCGCACTCACCCATCGTTATTTTCCAGTGTGAAGATGACTGAAAATGTGCGATTCACACGCTTGCCCAGTTCATTCTCCACTATGGGACAGGTTCCCAAACAGGTGAAAAACAGTTTGACATTCGCATAGGAACCATCGTCATTTCGGGTCACATCCGATACAAGGAAGCGAACAGTGAGACGATCACGATGGTACTCGTAGAGGGCTCCGGTATCGACGATACGCAATAAACTTTCTGAGAAAATTCGAAATTTGTATCACCCGGCGTTGAGCAAAGCAGTCGCATGCTTCTGGGATCCTGCCAAGGTGGAATTCCTACTTTGTTTCTTCGTGGCTGATCGAATATCACTCAAGTTCCGCTCATTCCCCAATTTCTACACGAAATGCCATCGTGCTGATTGTGAACGCACGAATTGGTGATTAGTTCTAGATTGGCGCGGAATTTTTCGAAAATAAAAATCACCGACCTCTCGGATGGAACAAGTATCGTATTTTATCTTGAATTAAAGAATAAAAATTGGCTCTATCAATATTTCCAGCGAATTTCGGAGATGGTCTTTACCTAAGAATCGTTCTGCGCAATTTTCCTCAGAAATTCAACGACTAACACTCTTCGCCTCGCCCAGAAGATTACTCCGTTGTATTCCGTAGATAAATCAAGAAATAGTGAAGGCAGTTCGAAAAGGTTTCTGACTTGACATGATCTTTATACACTGTTGAACCTCGATGACTCGAACCTCCCGAAGCGGAAAAAATATTATCAAATTACAATTTACTTGTAATTCTTGCACTTTAAGACATCCGAATGAATTTTGGCACTCACGAGTCTCAAAATAATTGTTCCCCGCAGTGGCGTGCTCCGACTGCTGACAGCAAATCACTAGATTCATGGCGAATTCCGAGTCGTCGAACACAGGAGTCAAACGAATACACATTCCGTCAATGGGTTCATTCAGCACCACAGCGAATTCCCACGGTATTCGCCGCTTTATGAACACAACGCCACGACTACCATCATCCCTCTGAAACAAAAAAATCTTGGCATGAGTATGGGTTCATCGTGAAGAAACAGATTCATTCGGAGGCACTCACAGGAATGATGACCCAATTCTTCTGCGAATGAGCAAATTCGACGCAAAAACCATGCTTTCCTCGCCACGGGCTCAAATTTGGTAACGATGAGGTGACGCGGTTAAAAATTGGAGCTTGAAAGCACTCACCTTCCGTATCCGGAATAGGTTCCGTGATTTGAGCAAGGTCAACTTCTTCATTCTTAAAAATAAAACACGGAAACCCGAATCAGACATCTTGGACGGGACTAAATTCGATTTTAGCCAGCTTCAAGAGCCACGTTCGACCATCATTTAAAGCAATAAATCGAAAGATTCTTGAAAAAAACGTGGCTTACTCAGCACGGCAGCATTTTTTTTTTCAAGGAACACTGATTAATTTTCCAAAAATTCTCAGTCTGCAAAAGAGGAGACTGGCCCGAATCTTCAAGGAGCAGGATGAATTGAAGGCTTGATAACGTTTCTCTCCAAATATTCTTTCCAAAGTCTTTTCTCAATTTATATGTTTTCTCAGTTGAAAAATATCTCGGAACAGACTGAACACCTTGTCTTTAAATTCGTCATCAGTTAGGTATTTTCTCAAGTACCACAGACACCTCTTTTCTCAAAATTCAGAGGAAAAAAAGGGGTGCGTGTCATAGGCAGGTATAATCTTTTCAATAAGTTCTAAACGGTGAGGTATGCACTATACTTCGTTCAAACGGAGAAATTTTGGACCAATTCTACGAGAAGAATTCACTCTTATGGAAACACTTAAAAAAGAGTTGAATTCAGAATCAATTCACGTATAAATTTAAATTTGAATGTTTAATTTAAATTTGAATGTTTAATTTAAATTTGAATGTTTTTACTTCTGAAAAATATCAGTTTCGCAATCAATTAAATGGAATTCACGTCTTACTTGGGGATACAATTTTATAAAAATTTCTGAATAAAAAATTTTCTTGTACGTCTCTCTTGAGGGCGTGTGGTACTACAGAAAGTACGGTATTCGTCCTGCGCTGTACTCCTGTCATTCTTGAAAAATAATGTATGCATTCTTTATTACTGGTATTACTTTTGACGAGCCAGAAAGTCTCTAATGGATGCGTGTGTGAGGGAGGGAGGTATGTTTGAAAATTTTGCGAACCTTGTGAATGCTGACGAGCAGCAATTACAGCTTGTAACTCACTTAATCGTTAACTCCAACATGAATACATTTCGGTAAATTTTTGAAATGGAAAATAGCATTACCGGAAAATCTCTGCGACACTCACATTATCCTGATCGTCGGAACTGCCTGAACGGTAATTTCCATGTATGTCCACTGTCTGTGACGAAAATTTCCGCACCCCACTGCTTTCGGCTGAATGCTGTTGAAGAATTATTTTGATGAGAGAATCTGAGAGAAGGTCTCAAAGGTTATGACGTACATTTCCCCCGTCTCCTTTTGCTTTGTAAACTTCAGCCATCGCCTTCTCAAATACAGACTGTTGTGAAAAAAAAAAAATAACACTTGAGATAAGAAGGTAAATAAGAAGGTCTCAAATGTTATGAATTACATTTCCCCCGTCTCTTGCTTTGTCGAATTCAGCCAACACCTTCTCTACTAGAACCTGCAGCGAAAAAAAAAAATAACACGTTTATCCCATCGCTAATTCGTCAAATTATTTTGATAATTGGGGATTTAGTTGAGAATTCCCCATTAGGAGACTGGCCGAAATTATTTTGCAAGTAATGCGAGAAAATCCTCAATTCTCTCAGCATTAATTTCACACAAAGAACACGCCTTAAAAGAAAAGTAAAATAAACAACTGCTTTAAAAAAACACGAAGTAGAGTCTTACCGAGACTTCAGGAGAGTTGGTGGGGGAATCAACTTGGTATTGGGTTCCATACGGTACCCCTTTGTCAGACATGGTTGAAAAAAATATAAAAATCTCAAAAAGACTAAAATCACCACTCCACCTGGAAGATGATGTCGAGAACATTCGTCAATCGGATTTTAACATCAGAAGCAACGAGAAAAAAAACACAATCCAGTTTGATGCTTCCAGCACACACAGTATTGGGTTCCATAAGTTTCCGAACACAAAACGACTAGAACGATAGATTATAACACATAATTCCCTACGAATGCTTCAGCCAATTCGGACGGATTCAGGTTTCCTCAGCACTTTCCTTCACAGCTTTCGCTCTCAACTGCAGAATCAACAATTGTTGTTCATGTTTTATAAAAATAACAGAGGAAATAATCGCGAATAAATAAAAAAACTCACTTCCGTTTTTAAAGTCCCCACTACTCCAGATAAGCAAGAAATCTTCGACCGCAAATCTGTCTCGCTTTGCATCGAGTCCCACAGAGTCGTCACATCTCGCAATCGAGACAAGAGGATCAAATTTTCCTCGTTAATCCGAGAACAGTCCTCCTTGTGCTTCTTATGTGCGTCGTCGAGTTTTTTCGTCAACAAAAGACACTCGTCTTTTAGTCTTTGTAGAATGTTGGTTTGCTTCGCGACAAGTTTCTCCAACTCTGATGCAGTTTCGGCTGAGGAAAATAAAAGTGAAGCAATTAATATCACAATAAAAAAGGTTAAGTAATTGATATCACATCGATGAAGTGATTAATATCACAATTGAGTAATTAATATAAGTAATTAATTAGTTAAGGAACTGTAAACCCACAATTCTTCGTTTCGACGTAGGCCATGAATTTCTGATTGAGAACTTGTAGCTCGTCCCAATTCGGGGTCGCCAACGGTTGAGCCTTCGGGCGATAACTCTCGAATGTTTCCAACTATATAATCAAAGTAATCAAGATTTTTTTTTTAAATAAAATGACTGACTGAGGACCTCAATTTTATACTTTCATTCAAGTTCAATTTCCCCCCTTAGCAGCAATACACAGTATTTATTCAAATTCAAACACGCTTGGAAATTACATTTGAACCTCGATAACTCGAACCTCCCCAAGTCAAATACCTTTTCATGTCAAATTTTTCGAAGTCCCTGTTTGCATTGCGTCAGAAAAAATGCATTAAATACCTTTCAAACACGAAGGTTTCCCTTCCCCAAACCTCGATAACTCAAATTTTCTGAAGGCTTTCCGTCTATTATTTTATCGACAGAAAATAGAGAAAAGCAAAAAAAAAAAAGGAAATCAATCTGTTTTGATAAGAAGTGCAAGAATATTTAGGCAAATGAGCCATTGTCTCCAAGTGAAGCACCCTGTCAACTCATTCAGGAAGCAATTCAAGATCCAGGATATCACCAATTACATTTTCAAGTAATTCTCTCTCTTCCCTCAAAAAAACGCGTCTCTCCCCCAACCCGAAATCTCGACTCGGTTTTATCTGCTAGTCCCCCAAAGTTTGACAGTACCTGACGACGATAATTTTCCAGTGAATCAGACAACATGCTACACTTTTCCTTGTCGATCCTCCACAAGTGTCCAATTTTCTCCGCCTTTTCTCTCAGACAATCAATTTCGTTTTGTTTTCGAGCAAGCTTCATTTCGAAATCCCTTTCCATCATTTCGCAGTCTCGCTTCGTCGACTCACACTCGTTCTCCAAGAGCTTTTTCGAGGCGTTCAACTTGGCAACGTCCTTTTGCAGTTTACACTCCATTCGACGCGAATCTGACAGCACTTCGTCCAAACGCGATTGGGTTTTCGCGAATTCCATTTCAAACTCGGATCTCTTTCGTCGTTCAGAATGCAGCTCCGCTGTCAAGGAGCCCAATCGAGTCTCGAGTTCGGTACTGAAGGAGCTTTTCGCCTTGAGTTCTTCGATGTGAATGCGAGCCGAACTCAGTTCGATTTCTAGCTCGTGGCGACGGGTTTCCGATTCCCTGGCGGTTTTAACGGCCTCTGAAACTTTCCTCACGGCTTCTGTCTTCTCAGCTTCGAGCAGGGCGTAATCACCGACTGTTTGAGTGCATTGATTGGTTAATCTGGAATAAAAATTATCCCACACTTCTACACGTACGAAGATTTTTTCGCTTTACAACGAAAACATTTCCAATTTCCGTTTTCTATGTGCAACATAATTATACGCCATTCATAAAAAACTTTAAGCGCGACATGGGAGAATGGAAACGCTTCAACGAATCAAGAAAAAACCTCGAATACAAAGGCTCAACTCAAGTCTAACTTCAAAATCGCGTTGAAATTTTGAGAGGAACTTTTAAAAAAATCAGAACTACAGAAAACGGATTGAATTCACATTTAATTCATGAACAAATTCGAATGTCGGTGCATCTCAGTTCCGAAACATTGCAGTTTTATAGTCATTAAAAATGGGGAGCATACCTTACTCAGAGATACAGTTTTAAAGTTCGGACTGAAAAGCTGGGTGTGCATCTTACTCAAGGGTGCGTGGTACTTGAATAAATATTGTACAGTACAGTATTGTACTTCTATAAATTTTCAACTCTGATTTCATTGTGGCATATAATGCACACCTCAACTTCTGAAATTTTGAAAAATGCATTGAAAAATGAACAATTCTTACAAATATCGAAGGAACATCAAGAAACAAAAATCAGCGCATGAATCACGCACAGTTTTTTTTTTCTTTTACCTGGCATCCTTGGACTTCTCCGACAAACGACGACACAGGTCCAAAACTCCCTTCACCTCCTCTCCAACCATTTCATTTTCGTTGACGAGATCCTCAGTTTTCTCCAGCAATAACTTCATTTCAAACTTCAAGTCGTGATTTTCTTTGGAAAGCCTTCGGAGTTCGGAAAGACGGCCACTTTCAAGACCTCTGGATTGTGCAGGCAAAACACGGACGGGCAAGTTGTAGACATCATTGGTCATCGGAGCGGAATATTTCAATCTCGGCGCGGGCAAAGGGGTTAGCTCGGGTGTGGGTTTGCTCAGGAATGCTACTCGATTGACGCCCTCGGGCGGTGAAAGCAAGACCCGAAGACGTTCCACAGCCATTCCGTGGAAAAATTCTTCAGCATTTAGACTTCGTCCCTTCGACGGTTCTCGAGACTTTAGTCCCATTCATTCGATCATAATTTCAAGCGATTCATTGTTTCCTTCAATTCAGCATTTGTCACTCTACGACTTCCATGGAACGCACTTGTATCACAGCAATGATGATGCAGTGAGCTTCACTGCATTTCTCCTGTATTCGTTTTCCGGGTTGGTGAAAATCTCTGTAATGCACAAGAGATAACTTTTTAAAATCTCAGGAAATGAGAGACGCGAATAAAATCGAGCCATCAAGAAATACAAAGCATTTACGATCAACAGTCAATAGTGGAATACACTAAAAAATCATGGATTCATTTCAGAATTCCAAAAAAAAAAAAGGAAAGGAAAAAATAACGTAGAAAAAACAAAGAGAAAACCAACAAGAGAGAAACACAACAGAATCATAAGAGACAGTCGCGTCATTGCGGCACTGGCCCACCAAAACCACCGCCTGGTGGTCCCATCATATGAGGTGGTCTCATGCCCGGGGCCATCATGGGCCCACCCATCATCGGGCCCATCGGAGGTCTCATCTGCATGGGGTAGCCTCCAGGGGGCCCTTGCATCATCTGTCCCATTGGTCCCATCATTTGTGGTGGCGGGCCACCAGGCGGCATTCCTGGCCTCGCACCCACCGGTGGCGGCATACCGGGCCGCATCGGTGGGCCACCAACTTGCATGCCGGGCATTGGAGGTCTCGGTCCTCCAACTGGCCCTGTGACGATGCATAAAAAAAAATTCCTTGAATCAGTACTGCCCGACACTAAGAATCCCACGATCTTTTTTCAGCAATTTTTGAGGTAAGAGACTCTGTTATTCAAACTCAAGATGAATTTAAACATTCAAAATGCTGCTACAACCTTCAAAAATGTTATAAGGCTGCGCCGAAGATTCAATTCATGGCAAAGAATTGAAGTTGAAACTTTTCATTCAAGAAGGGAGGATTTGGAGCCTCAAAAACTGGTGCAATGTGGCCCTTAGTTCATCTTAGTCGAGCAGCACTGCCTTGAATTATCGACGTAATTAAAAGGCCCGAATGACTAGTTTAATCTACAGTATTTACTCATTATTTCTGAACTAACTACACACATACACACACAGACCCATAACTTCAATCTTTTGGTCCCTGCTCAATACATTCTAAACCAGTGTTCCCCAACCTTTCCAGGCCCGCAGAGCAGCAAATTTCCATAAAATGTTTGCAGAAATGCGTTGAAAACCTGCCATAAAATCCTCCAACCGTAACCTTCATTGCAAAAATTAATCTATGAACAGATGACGCGGTTCCAGTGGAATGCCTTCTAAAAATAAGACAGCTGGGCTTCAAGAAAGGTTTTCAGAATGAATGCTTGAAATGACACTTTCCAGCTGGTGAAAATAAACCTGCAGTTGTTATTAGAAGAAAAGCCAAATACATTATTATTTTTCATCGGATACTTGCAACTGCCAATGCCTTGCCAAAATTGCAGATAAAGATAACAGACTTCATTACTCCCTTTAATAAATTTGATATGCTGAAGAAAATTTCCCAAGGACTGGCAATCTGCAATCATTGAACTAACCTCCAAGACCCGCAGGTGGAGGAATGGCAGCCCCACGACCCATTCCTGCTGCCATGCCATAAGGATTCGCAGACGGAATTTTTCCAGCTTTGAAAGCCGCGGCTGAAACGTAGAAAAAAAACCAGACCAAAAACTGAAATTCGGCGGCAAAAAAGAAACAAACACCACATCATCAACTCACTCGTTGCATCAATCAAACTTTGCGCCTGGTCTTCCATCCATTTCTGATAATAAAACTTGACATTGTCTTTGTGTTTCCTGCCGGAACAATGAGTTTTTCTGACTGACGGCTGAAAAGAAAGATAAAAAGGTGAGACAATTCATTCAGGTACCATTGAACCTCTATAAATCGAACCTTTATAAGTCAAATACCTCCCCATGTCAAAATTTTTCTCAACTCCCAGCCCAAATTCCCGTAGAAACGATGCATTAAAAAAACTTCCTTCACTCAAAGATTTTATTTTTAAAAAGTATAAAAACTCCATAACTTAAATTTTTTGGAAGATTTTTGGCTATCATAAAAGAAATAAAAGGCATCTTTATGTGTTCTGAAAAAAGGTGAAGACTAATATGACAAATAAAGCCTTGTCTTCAACTTCAGCATCCTGTTACCTTATTCAAGAAGCAATTTAGGGCCCAGAATATCAATTAAAATTTCCTGTAATTCTTCATTCTACCATTTTTGTGTACCTAACTGGGATATCTTTCCTGGTCCGTTCAAGTTCGACTTAAAGAGGTTCGACTGAAATTTCAAAATTCCAAGTCTCGAAGCACACTCCCACATACCGAGTCGTGCGTCAAGAACGTGTCGCAATAATCGCAGAAGAACCTGCAGAACATCAAATTGATTAATCGTCAAGCCAACTACGTTAAACTCGAGAGTAAACACTCACTTCGGCATTTCCGATGAGGTGTCGTGCAGAAGTTCACTAAAGCAACAGCAACAAAAACGAATCCCTTCAATTGAAAATAGAATAAAAATTAAACTTTAGGTGATGCTCGATAAAATTGCGCGAAACACCGTCGAAAAAAATGACGTTCACCATAAAAGCAATGACATTTCGTTTTCGTTCCTCAATACAACGCCTAAAAGGAGCACAGGGAAAAGACTCAAGATTTCAGTCGGCATCCGCGTTTCAGAAAAAAGCGCCGCTCAGTGCTGCATACTCCGGAGAAATATATCACCAAACACTGATTTAGTTTCTCTCTTCTCTCCTCTCTACACCGACTTCAATTCTCCGCTACGGCCTGCTTCTTCACCGCCTGCACGCACTTGGCCATCGTCTTGGACGCCCTCGAAATCGCATCAGTCATATAAAAATCCTTCAGCTCCATTTGATTGACTTTGAACGGGTCCGAGGAAATGGCCGCCTTGGCGTCCGCCAACGCCACGGCTTCCGAGACGTAATTAGCCTCCTCCACAGCGTTGAACCTCGTCAAGTGCGGCGCCACTTCCTCCATCCGGGCTCGAATGCCGTTCAGGTCATCGTAAGGCAGCGTTTCCCCCAAAATCTCCGACAGAGCACGAATGACCTTCCAGTCTTCTCGGGCCAGGCCAGGCGGGGACACAGCAGGGTAAGTCTGCTGAGCTCGGCCTTCCGTGTTCACGTACGTGGCTTGCTTTTCCGTGTAGGCGGCCCCTGGCAGGATGACGTCCGCCATTTCCGCTCCTCTGTCGCCATGATGCCCGACGTAGATGACGAAAGCATTGGGGACGTCGTTGCGCGTGACGGCGCCTTCGTCGGCGCCGAGCATCACCAAGACATTGGGTGCATTCTCGCGAATCGCTGATACGCCGGCTTTGTAACCCAGATCCAGGGCAGCCACCTGGGAAATGCCGTCAAAATTTCATTCCTCGGCGCACTAATCACACGCGGAAGATCAGTTTACTTAGTTAGAGTGAGGAACGGACTGTAAATTCGACACCAAAAATATGAGGGGGGGTTCATCAAAGCGCGAGACCAAACGAGCGCGAGTCAGGAACAGCTGAAATATTTCTGGTACGTCACAGTGGGAGGTAAAGAGACACTTAGAGACACCTAGATATTCAATGAAATCTGCCACGACAATGTCTTAAGGTACAGAATTTCCCCTAGTTCCTATGAAAAAGGAAATTTTTTTGTTTATAAAAATTTTGATTTCTGTTGAACGAATTCAGCTGTTTACACTTTACATTGATTGGGACAAGTCCATTTAGGGACACTTAAACTGAAAATAATCTGCCATGACAATGTCTTTGGACGCAATTTCGCCAACATTACCAGAGAAAAATCGAAATTTTCAATTTTCACAAATTTTGGTAACACTTGAACAAATTCAGCTATTTGTATGATACGGACAATTCCACTTGGAGACACATACACTCAAAAAATCTCCCCCAGACAATGTCTCCAGACACGGAATTTCCCAAAATTCGAGAAGAAAGGATATCTTCACAAATTTTTATACCGCGAAAAATCCGCTATTTATACTCACAAAAGCAATGATTTTCAAGTTCACACTCATTGATAATCCAACATCGGCAATTTTTTTTCTCAATTTTTCAGTTTTTCTCCATTCTCTATGCACTTCATAGAATCGGTGCTTGCGTTTCTTTTTGGACTCTTTCCCATGCCAAAACATCAGATATTGCGCTGTTTGCTTTCGCACTGTAATTTTCTGAATCGTCAAGTTTGAGAAAATTTATTTTATTCAATTTTTCGGATCTTTTCCTTAATTTTCGACGAACAGGAGAACCATTTAAATATATTCCCATTGAAGTCCAAGGGGAATCATGATTTGACATGAGGAAGTTTCAACATAGGGACAGGGTCCAAGCACCAATTACGTCCGCATATCGGGGCCGGACTATATTTTCATTTGCATCAAACGATTGAGTAAAGGATCCCCGAGCATTTCTCTCTTTATCTCGCAAAAACTAAGACAGCAGCGTTTTAGAATACCAAACAGGACTTCAGAATAAATGAAAAAAATCCAAACCTGAGAAGCTACTCGGTGCAGCACATTAACGATCTTCCAGGAACGCTCGGCATTGCCAGCACCTCGAAGCTTCTCAGCCATCCCGCGGATCTTGTCTAGAATGGCTTGACCATCGGACCTCTGCAGCAGAGAAGATCCCACGACGAAAACCGGCTTTTTGGCTTGCAACATAAGCTTTGCAAATGGATGCTTGCCAGTCATCAGGGCTTCCAAACTCTTGGCGTCTTCGCCAACATGCGTGTAATCATAGGTCAAGTCCACCTGTCACAAAAAATAGGTATACTTACACATAGAGTAAAATCTTGGTATTTACCGCAAATTTCCCAGTGTAACAACCTTTTTTTCCGAGTCCACGCAGAAAGCTCACAGAGTACATGTGAGAACATTTTCTACAAGAAAATACCCAATTCCCGTACAACTTTTTTGGGAAACGCTCGATGGATTTTCCAGGTAAAAATTGGGTACCTGAGGCAGACACAGTCTAAAATGTCCCCTTTTTTTTCAAATGTGACAATCTGGTTCTTCTTGCTTCGATGAAAGTAATCATTACAAACATGCTTTCAAGAGCTTGAACACATCATCCTCCCACAATGAAGAGATTTTCAGGGAGGGTTGAAACAAAGCAATTTTTCCTCAATTACAAAAATCATGTAAAAATAAGTGCGAAAATTTTTTTAGCCTGACTGCTCGAGAAGCTGTGCTTGCTGCCCCTGGTTATAAACTAAATTTTTCAGAGATATTCTTCCGTCAGTAATCGATTATTATCTGACGCGGACAATACAATCAAGACATTCATCGAGATGTATAGATGAAGCCAACTTTTTTCGCAAGATCCTTCAGTTTTTCAAATGATACTAAAATGTTTGAGAATGACAGAGAATCCAGAGATGATCGATTACAAGCAGGTCTGATGTGAAACAAGTTTTCCAAACAAATCTCATTACAACAAATTATTCAGTATGACGAACTTCAGGCACCCCAGAAGTTAGTTACAACGGGATTCTACTGTTCTACTGTATGTACATGGTAAAATCTCGTTACAACGAAGCTTTTGGGACCACAAAAAAACCTTCGCTACAACGCTGAATTCGTTACAAAGCAATTCACATAAACTTGTTGCTCTTGGGCAGGGATCTGAAAAATTACTTCGTCGCAACCAATAATTAGCAATTAGAAGCTTCGTTGTAACGAGGTTCTACTATACTGTATACAGGCTTCGACAGGCAAACGGGAAGACGATGATTCCCCCCATTTTCACAATGGAATTCTCACCTTCGGCCCAATGAGGCCAACTTCAAGATCGTTGTGAATCCAGCATTTCCTAACTCTCGCATTGAAAATCGGAGCTTCAAAACGGGGATTTGTTCCAATGAATAGGACCACGTCTGCCTCTTCGACCCCAGCAATGCGCGAGTTCATGAGGTAACTAGATCTGAAATCGGTGCCCGAACCCCCCATCGGGAAAATTTCTTCCGTGCAACAATCCTCGCCTCCCAAACGATTCACCAGGTCTTTCACTGCAATCAGAGCTTCTGCGTCTGCAAATCCTCCGGCCACTGCTGCCACCTTGTTGTTGGCCTGCTTGAGCGCTTTCGCAGCAACTGGAAGAAATCATGTTCTTTTATTTTCACCGGATCAGGAGTCGAACCTCTTTTGAGTCGAACTCCGAGGGACCAGCAACAAAAATTTACAGGAAATTCGAACTGGTGATATTCTAGGCCCTGAATTGTTTTTAAAATGAGTTGTTAGGATGTTGAACACAAATTCGATTCACAGAAGTTTAGAAAGGGAAGTTTTCGAGTTGGGGAGGCTTCTAATGCACTTTTCTAAAGGAATCCAGACAGGGACTTCAATTTCTGTTTTAAATAAGGAGGCATTCGTCTTGCGGAGGTTCGACTAAACGAAAATAACCACAAGAATCAATTCCAGGAAAATGAATGTTAATCGTTTTTTCCCAAATTTGCTCACGGAATCCCGATCTCTCGAAAACAGGACCAGTCGAGAAAATTACGTTCCCGCGAGTGCAATTTTTTGGAATCATTCGTTCAACAAGATGGAAATACTGTACAGTATATCATTGTAACGACGTTCGCCCGAGTTGCTCTTGATTCAAGTAACTGAAAAACTGAGGAATATTTCATGTTCTACGTGAAATAATCGAATTCTTTTGCAAAATTTCGTATTTCTGACTAAGGCTTTTTCCACAGGTACGCTTTTCGTCGAATAAAGGCCTGAAATTCATACGACGTCTTATTTTTGGCTTCACGACGAAGTTCAACAATCTAAATAAAACACGTTCCAAAATGTACGGACCGTCACCTCGAACACGCATTGTTGAACAACTCCACTACTTTTACACCAGAGCTCTTCGCAGATCATTGTACTGTATTCACTTTTTATATTAAGAACAGTTTTTATGTAAGAAATTTACCCATCAGCGCGTCTTCCCATTCAACCGGCACGAGTTCGCCCGTCTTGTCCTTCACCATGGGCAACGTGAGACGCTGATTCTTCAGTCCATCGTAAGCGAAACGAGATTTGTCACTCAACCATTCCTCGTTCACTTCCTCGTTCATCTTCGGGATAATCCTCAACACTTCATTCGTCCGATGCGTCACAACGATGTTGGATCCAAGGGCGTCCATCACGTCGACGCTTTCGGTTTTTCGGGTCTCCCAGGGACGCGCAGTGAAGGCGTACGGCTTCGACGTCAAGGCGCCGACGGGACACAAGTCAATGACGTTCCCCGACAATTCCGACGACAGCATTTTCTCCACGTAAGTTCCGACCTAAAGGGTTTTAATTCAAGTTCAAGAAAATATCGATTTACGACGGCGGATGAAAGTTTCAATATTTTCGGCAAATACATTTCAAGGATCACGCGTCCTTTAATTTGCCAACTAATTAGGAGAATCTAAAAAAATTACGGATGACACCTTCACTGAAAGATTTTCGCACAGAAAATAATTCGCGCAGTTGGAATTTAGAATATTGATAAATTGGCGAACATTGAAATATTGTACTGCAGTACTTCAAGAGGTTCACGAATTTTGAAATAGCAATCAATAATCAACAGGTGAAAGTTTGAGTACATGCGAAACAATGATCTTACGGAACCGATATGAATTAGTAAGACGTGCGGCGAAATTTATATGATTTCGGGGCATCTACCCGATTGGAAGGAATTTTCAATGCTTCCTTCCTTGCAACGCACAAACTTGTGCACGCTCAGTTTAAATTAATTCAAATCTTCAAGTCGAACTTCAACGGAACAGCAAAATAATTCGAGTTGAAGAGGCTTCGAGTAAGGGAAAAAGGCATTTTTTTTTGGGGAAAAAAAGAAGAATTCCAATAAATCGTAACCGGTGAAATTTGGGGTCTTGAATCGCTCCTCTAATGACTTGAAAGGATGCTGAATGTCAAGGTAAGGGTTCATTCGTCAAATTAATCTCGAACATCCCTCCAAAACACATTGTTAAATTTTTTATGATTTTCTCTTTCCTGTAACGACAAAATACTGTAATAGCCAAAAGGCATCCAGAAAATTCGAATTGAGGGAGTTTGAGAGAAGAACCCCAAGAGTTGGAGAAGTTTTCAATGAATTGTTTCCAAGGGAATTCAGACAGAGACTAAAAAAAAAATTGACACAAGGTTCGAGTTAGTGGGATTCAACTCCAAATCATGCAATTTTTGCCAAGTGCCAGAAATTTTCGAACAATATTCTTCAGTTTTTTTTCGAACAGAAACTCGTAAAATAACGACTCGCAAATCGTGGGCACAAAACATGTTCCAGTTAGTCAGTTTCCGCGTATGGATTCATTTGAACAATCTCTACGACGATATTCTGAAGTGCTACTCCTTCCACAGAAGATTTTCGAGACAATTGAATATCGACTGGATTACGAACTATAAGGTCGAAAGAAAATTCATTCATTGTCTCACACAGCTCTGAATTTTCATTACCGAGAATTACGCCAGAAAATGGGGGCGGGAAGAAATACAGACCTGCATGTCAGATCCGCGTCCAGTCGTTCCCAAGTCTTCCACTCCTGCTACTTCGGACGCAAATCTGATGCATCGCGTGCAGTGGATGCAACGAGTCATGTACGTCTTGATCAACGGTCCCATGTTCTTATCCTCCACGGCACGTTTTCCACTGAACGCGTTGTCAGTGAAACGAGAGCGATCAGATCCGAAAGCCATTGATTGATCCTGAAAGAAATGATACAATTTCACTAGAAATGAAAAAAAAGGACAGAACATTCGCGGATTGAAGTAGTAAAAAGAGGTTCTTTCAATGTCAAAACCAGACGCCTTCTTCTTCGCCATTACACCTACATCGCTCGAATTTTCTAATACTCCAACTGGGCCATGATCAAGTCGGGTCGGAAGCATTTCTGCTCGAAACTCATTCCTAAAAGAAACCCTATCGACAGTTTTACTCCAGCTGCGGAGTCCTCCGTATGATGCAATTCTCACGACAGAGTCACATTACGAAATGAGAAAAAAAAAAAAAAAAGTACCTGAAGATCGCATTCCCCGCCCTGATCGCAAATGGGGCAATCCAAAGGGTGGTTGACAAGCAAGAATTCCATGACCCCCTCGCGTGCTTTCCTCGTCATCGGCGAATTTGTCTTAATTCGCCAACCCTTCATTACCGGCATGGCGCACGCCGCAACAGGCTTCACAGATTTCTCAACTTCCACGAGACACATCCTGCAGTTTCCAGCAACACTGAGACGATCGTGGTAGCAGAATCTCGGAATTTCAACTCCAACCATAGCCGCGGCCTTCGAATAAGAATGCATCGGAAGATGAACTCACACGAAAATCTCATAGCTGTTACATCTCTAACAGGAAATACGTACAACACCCAGCATCACGCCTTAAAAAAATCTTAATATTCAATGCAGAGAAAAAATCAATGACTATAGACGATTCGGAAAAGTTCACAGATTTAGCTCTACAATTCACAGATGATGTTAATCAATTCACAGTACCGCACTAGAACAAGGATGCTATGCAACGTAGGGATTTCCGGAGCATTCAATTTTCAGCATGTGAAAATTGAAGTACGGGCCCATCCCAATTTCAAAAAGAGCAAGGCGGCATTACAAAAATTTGAAAAATTTACCGATTTCTGTAATCACGCAACCCAGGAGTACATTCACAAAAGCCTTCATTCAGGTTAGATCTCGTAATTTCACAAACATTTTAGTTTAAAATTCGGTCCGAAGTTTTGACAGCAACCATGCAACGAATCAGATTGAATGATCTTTGAAAAATGTAAGTGGCAGAAAAATTTCAGCCTCATCGAATTGCTTGAATTGCAGCCGGCATCAAGGAGTAGTCCTCGAACATCGAAAGCAGATGTGCTGAAGAAAGCACTTCCGAGTTACGTCGGAACAAAGTAAACGAATTTCAAAATGCGGAGCCTTCCCTCTTGAATAAACCATCGTTTAGTCCCGCCTCTGAAGTAGGATTTCACCTGAAGAACAGTCGTCCCTGGCTCGACCATGACAGGCTTGTCGTCAATGAATACCTCGATTTTTTCATGATTAACCGAGGAAACGGACAAGCGACGAACTGAATCTAAACCGAACTTGCGCCAGCAAGTGCGCAATGTCCCGATCTGGAACATCGTCACTACTGAAATTTAATTCACGAGAAAACCTTCAGAAAAAAAGGGAGGGTGTAGAACACAGAATGAATTGACAAGAACGATTTAGGGATATCCAGGCCACTTCTTCGTTATGAAGTGGGGTCACTCGGATCCCTAGCAAGCACGCGAATCATTTCAATCGAGTACTCTGAAAATGAACCCCGATTGTCCGATGCATCTCAATCACAGAATTGCACGATCACACGAAACTTCTCACTCAGCTTTCGATTTCTACTGCAAATCCTTCTCGGTCATAAGCCATCTCGAAGTCATCGTTACACACTCCGGAGTCATTCAGATCTTCTTCGCGGACAGGCTTTGAGTTTTCGCGGAACCAGCTATGAACTGCTAGCTTCCAGATCTTCACTTGCGCGTCGAACGACCTCCGTGAACATCTCTGAAACGTTTTCGGCGTTTGCGGCATGCTTGCTATCCTCGCACTTCTATCTACGGTAGCTACATAGCATCGATACGAATCCGTATTCTTTCCGTAGTCTACTTGTTTTTGTCGCCTGGCTAAAATCACTGGATCGTCAACGCAGTTTTTCAAGTTCAAGCTTTGGGTTAACTGATTGGTTTTACGTGGTGCGTAGTACGAAACCGTGAAAATCGTCTTCTCACGCAACAAGTTTTCAAACGGCCGGAATTCATCACACTTACAGCCTTTCGGTCGAACATATCCCATAATAACCTAAATGGAACAAAAAAGCGTGTTTACCAAGCTCCTTCGGCCACAACTCATGAATGCCATGAATACGTATTGCTCCGAAAATGAGGCCTTCTTAAGCCTGATCCTACTGCAGAAAAGTAACCGGACATTCCAGTTGATTCAATTGTGAGCCGCTGTTAATGATATGAAGCAACGCTAGATGTCATTATTGTGATACTAGCTTGACCAAATACCAGAGTACTGAAGTAGGATGAATGAACTGGACGCATGGAGGACACTAAATGACAGAAGGTGTCATTGCTGCAGCATCGCGCGCGAGAAAGAGGTACTGTACAGTACTGCTGCATACAGATGTACAATTACAGTACCTCTTGAAAATACAGTACAGTATCTGAAAGTGGGATTATCTGCAAAGTAATCTAAAGAACTGCATGGAGGTTATTCATAAGACCAGCAAAGGAGCACTTTCAGTCTAAATATCCCAGAACCCACTACAACTCAAACAGTAAGGTCAATATTCCTTTTACACACCTCGTCAGCACGGCTATATTGTATATATATATACGCGATTACATATCCAAGTGTCTTGACAAAAGTTCATGCAAAAATTTAACAGATGTCATACAATTGAGCTGAATAAATGTATTCTTTGGAGAAAAATATCTTATTTGGCCCAAAAAAAATCAATCCTGTTTGATGATTTGCTTTAATGTTTTGCAAAATACACCCTAGCAGAGTTTTGCTTTCCACTCAAAACATGAGGTGCCCTTATATTCCTGCAGAATTTTGTTGTTGTAGCCCAGCTTTTCCCTCAGAATTTTTGAAATCAAGGTGGAATTATTCTTTCTAAGGGTAATTGTTTCCATCAAGTCTTCCAGGGCAATTCCCCCATTTTTATCATTAGGCTCCTTCACACCCAGCAAAGAATGGGGGCGTTGGGCCAGGGAACGTTTTGACATTGGCATTGGCAATGCTGTTGCAGCGCCATTGTCTGAATGGGGCTGATTGCTGCCAACACCCTTTGCTTTATTGATGTTGTGTGAATGCTGCAATGACAAGGCTGTCAGAAAGAGATTTTTACACTGCTTTCAGACAAGGAAAGAAAATTAGAATTTTCCTTCCGATGAAAAAAGAAGGATCGAGGAATTTATACTGAGTATGAATTGAAACGAAAGGATTGTAAATAAAACCAGATAATCAGCCGG